GCACTGTATGGGGCAGTGCAGGGAGGTCTTCCTTGCTGCTTTGTAGCAGGTCAGGTTTTCTTCCTGCCAACAGGAATGGCTGTGGGGAATCCAGTGTCCAGCCAACATAGGTCCTGATGGCTGTTGGTAATTGTGTTTTTCTGGCTCAGGGTTGTGTCCTGGTGGTTTTCCACAGGAAGCAGAAGGGGTGGGAGAAAGGGTTCTGGCCTCTTTGCCCTCTTTAAGTATGGCATCCCTTTCTGGGGGAGAGGGAGTGTGTCTGGCTAAGCACTCTGGGTCACCACCAGTGCTGGGCTCCCATGGGAGTGGTACCAGTTGGAGTATTCACAGATCCTGGCATTGGTTTTGAGCTGACTTGTGGCATTGTGGAGAACGTTTTCTGTGTCTGGATGCAGCATTCTCACGTTCCCGATCAGTAACTGAGGATCTTCAGGTGTGTTACTGTCTGTGCTGCTCAGGTTCTGACACATCTGAGGGGCCTCTTTCCTGGCTTAGGCATGCGATGGGAGGGTAGAACGGAGGTTCCTCACAGTTTTCCATCCTTTGTGTGTTAGGTATTAGGTCTTCATTCTTGTGATTCTCTATCTGTTTATATTTTCTTTGTGGTCTTTCTCTTGAGGTAAAGTTAGTGTGACGATCCTAAGCCTCTATTTGATTAGCGAGAGCTAGGGTGACTCCCTGTTGCTTCTCAGCCATCTTCCCAGCATCCTTCGCTCCAGAGTTTTTACTCTAAGGCTAGTTCTCTACCACTTGAGCAAAAATTCTGTTTCTGGCTTTTGGGTGGTTAATGGGAGATAAGAGTCTCATGGACTTTTCTGCCTAGATTGGCTTTAAACAGCAATATTCTCATAACAGCCTCCTGAGTTGTTAGAATTATACACATTAGCTGTCAAGTGCTAATTTTTTAAAACAATGTTACTTGTAGATATTATTTGAAACCTGAGATATTAAAGAAGTTACCTTTGCTTCCGTTGTTGTATGGAAGATCTACTAAGCTGACACCACTTTCTTTAAAATCATAGTAAATTTAAGCTGCCTTAATTTTACCCACCTTCGTCCAGGTACCAGAATCTAACTGGGTAGACTGTGCTTGCTAAAGACTCCATGCTATCTTAAAGTATAAATGTAATCAGGGAGCTGGTGCCTCAAACCTATAATCCTAGCTACTCAGGAGGCTGAGATTTGAAGACTGTGGTTTAAAGCCAGCCTGGCAACGAAGATCTGTGAAACTCCTATCTTAAATTAACTACCAGAAAACTGGAAATCGAGCTGTGGCTCAAAGTGGTAGAGCACTAGCCTTGACACAAAAGCTCAGGGAGCATGCTCTGGCCCTGAGTTCAAGATCTGTGACTGACAAAAAAAGCATGAATGTATATGTTTATTTTCTGTTACCATTTAGCAACTGTCCACCTAAAGGCCTATACCGTGAAGGCTTGGTCCCTAGCCTGAAACTTTTAAAGATGGGACCTGGTGAAAGGTCTTTTGGTCTTGGGGCATGCTCTGGGGGGGGGGGGTAAGACCTCAGCCCCTTCCCTTACCTCTCACCTGCTACAAAGTGAAAGTAGCTATTCAACACATTCCTACCATGAAGGGCTGCCCCGCCATGGGACCAAACACAATAGGACTGCATGAACACAGGCTGAAATCCCTAAAACCGGGCCAAAATAAGCCTTTCCTTTTTAAAAATTGATTAACTCAGGTATTCATTACAGTCACGGTGAGCTTATTAACACAGTGCCTTAACTGTAGACCAAAGTCTCCTATGATGAACGTGCTTTGGGCAGGCCCAGGGCACCTCTCCAACCCTCTGCGCACCATGCCCTCAGGTGCTCTGGGGAATCTCACCTCCACAAAAACCTTCAGGGCAAATGTGAGCTCTGGAACTCACCTGTGAGGTTATCTGTACAGGCTTGCCTTTTATATCAGATCTGTGATGAATGTTTAAAACATTTAATCTGTACTTTACTTGTTGGAGTCAAGAGACTATTCAAATTTTCCAGTTCACTATAGTCTCAGAAACTGACACTTGATATATCCTTTTATCCTTTCATTGAACATAGTTTTGTTTAGTAACACCATGATGCCAGACGTTGTGTCAGGGTGACAGAGGGATAGGAAACCTGCACTAAACAGTCTCTGATCTCAACATGTACACAGAAAAACTCTGAATTACAATGTAAGACATGCTACACACAACACTTTAAAAAAAAAGAAGTGAGAGAGATCTAATGTTATTTAATACATGAACCAGATGCTTTATATGCATGGAAAAAGAGTCCTAGGAAGTTAGTAGTATTATCTATATTGCCCATAAAAATAAATACACTTCTCAAGGATTACAGGGTTACTATTTAGTGGTCCTGAGTCTAGAACGGCTTGATTCACAGTTCAGATATGGAAATATTACTGTTCAGGTGTCTTGGAAAGACAAGCATGTGAAATTAGAGTGTGAGAAGCAAAAAAGTGATAGGAAGTCAACATTAGATGTGATTTGGGGGATAGATTTGAAGTGTGAGCATGGCACTAGCAGGCAGAGAGTGGGTTAAAAAATCATTCCACATAGTACATTATAAGTACATCAAGAAGAACAGCAACAAAAATAAAACCCCTTGTGTCCCTATCTTGGGGTTCATTTCTCTTAGCATCAGGTTATATGGTCATATATACATACCTTTTGACCTTTTTTGCTTGTCCTAGACATATACTAGTTATTGCAGATAAGGGAAACCATGGGACCTATGTTTCTTTGAGTCTGGCTTACTTCACTTAATATGATTTTTTTCATGTCTTTCTATTTCCTAACAAATGGGGCAGTGTCATTCTTTCTGATGGAGGCATAGAATTACATTACATGTACACACACACACACACACACATATATATGTTTGTGATCATTTGGGTAAGTGCCTAAAAGTGGGATTTCTGGGTCATAGGGGAGCTCTATGTGGAGTCTTTTGAGGGACCTCCATACTGCTTTCCAAAGTGGTTGAACAAATTTACATTCTCACCAACAATGTAGTAGGGTTCCCTTTTGGCCACATCCCCTCCAGCATCTGTTGTTATTAGAGTTCTTGATTATAGCCATTCTAACTGGGGTGAGGTGGACTCTCAATGTTGTTTTGATTTGCATTTCTTTTATGGCTAGAGAAGTTGAGCATTTCTTCATGTGTCAGTCTATTGGTCATTCTTATTTCTTCAGAGAAGTCTCTCTGTAAGTCTTTTTTTTTTTTTTTTTGGTTCCGGTCATGGGGCCTGAGCTCTGGGCCTGGGCGCTGTCCCTCAGCTCTTCAGCTCAAGGCTAGCGCTCTACCACTTGAGCCACACTACCACTTCTGGCTTTTTTTTCTCTTTAAGTCTTTAGCCCACTTACTTATTGGGTAGTTGTTTCTTTGAGGATTTGTTATTGGGGGATTTGATTTTTTGAGTTCTAAGTATATTTTAGATATGAGACCCTTGTCCGCTGTATGGCTAGTGAAGATCTTCTCCCAGTCTATGGGCTTTCTATTGATCTAGCTATGTCCTTTGCCATGCAGAAGCTCTCCAATTTCATGTTCTCCCCCATAGTACAACCCCTGTTGTCACTGTATTTGATTCTGGTGTCCTGCATCTTGTATATACATTTTTATAATCTGGGGAGGGAAAGGGAAATAACAAAATGCTGAAATAAGGATACAGGATGACCCATTGTAACAATGAGCTGTACATGACAGTATGTTGAAAACAAACTTTACATCTTTGCAGGGGGGGGCATGGGGACCAAAGGAATGGGAGGGGAAATATGAAGGAGGGGGTAACAATGCCAGATAGGAAATGGACGCATTACCTTGCTCATGTAACTGTAACCACTCTGTACAGTATCTTTACAATAAAAATATATATTAAAAAGCATTCCACATAGAAGAAAGAGATCAAGCCAAATTATTGAGCCCTTTAAGAATTTGACATGGTCAGTTCACTGCGAAGAGAATGAAGTGTATAAAGCAAGCCATTTGTATGGACATATAAGGCCAAAGAGACAGGAGAAAGATTTTTAAGGGACTATTAGTTTATCTTATGATCACTACAACTGTGATATATTATGAAATGTCAGTTGGCTTGCTATGGCTTCATCTACCAGAATTTACTGTTTTCCTTCTGATAATGGCTGTCTTATTTTCTTTGGGAAATCCTTCAAGATGATAGTATGTAATTTTCATAAAACTGACTCTGCCTCCAGGTCCCAGGTGTTATGATGCAGGCTGGACAATTGGAACATTATATCCTTTTTCTTAATGACCCAATGACAGCCAGTAAGACTTGGTCTTATAGCTGTTGAGAAGATAGGATTTTGCCTTTGTGGTGTATAAGAACATAGGTTGGAAGCCTGTCATCTCTGGATGCTGCTATCTTACCTACACAAAGGTGGAATCTACCTGAACCTTGAAGTGACATAAGAAAGGAACAAAGCCAGCAGAGAAAAAGTGACACTGAGTCCCTGTGATATGATTGGTGTTTCTGGGTCCCATCAATGCCTGAACTTTCTACTTTAAGTTTTTGCTTTAGCAGAATATGATTTAATTGCTATACTTATAATCAAGAGTCTTGATTAACCTGAAGGTAAAATGCAACCTAAATAAGCTCAACAAATGATGCTGTATTAAAGCATCAGTATACCAGTACCATGATCCTACAAAGGCAAAAGCAGCTAGTAGATATGAAAAGATCCAGTCTACTACCTAATATAATATTGGATCTACTCTTCATAGAACCCTTGTGAGCTCCATATTGTAATTCTCTTTTACAACTGAGCTGAGGGATTTATGAAGTCACATACTGGCAAAGATTTGAACTAAGTACTTTGCTTCTAAATCCCTTGTTCTTTCCACTCCTGCAGACAACTCAACAGGGTCAGATACTTGGTACATGAAGGTATTCAATGAAGACTTGTAGAATAAATTACAATCTTGTCTACAAGATTTAAAATAATTTGGTAATAGTGATGAGTAAGAAGAAATGCTTACCCTGACTTTGGGAGTGTCTGGTTAGTTTTCTGTCTTCAGGACAGGCCTTTGTCTGGATGATGTTGACCATGCTTTCCTGCTTTCCATCTGGCATGCAACTTCTATCTCTGTGGTCTCCAGGCATCTGGATTTTTCCAGGTGTCATTTCACAGACACCTACCTGTATATGCACAACAGGGAGAGTACTGTCGGGCTCTGATTGGTTAAATCACCTATTTGCTTATGCATGCTGTTCTTTTTTAACTCCTTATAGGTAACAACCATTTTTAAAAAATTGTCTTTCTTGGGGCTTGAACTCAGGGCTTGGGTACTGTTACTGAAGCTTCTTTGCTCAAATCTAGTGTTTTATTACTTGAGCCACAGCTCTACTTCCAGATTTTTTAGTGGTTAATTGGACGTAAGAGTCTCACAAACTTAACTGCTTGGGCTGGCTTTGAACCAGGATCCTCAGATCTGTTTCCTTAGCAGCTAGGATTATAGGTGTGAGCCACCAGCAGTCAGCTACAACAGCCATTTTTATTAGTCATTTTTAGAGCTTTCTTATTAGAGTCTAAGCTTACAGGGTATACACCCTGCCTTTCATTTACTTGTAAATGGCCAATGAAGGCCTAGCTCTGCCTATGGGAAGCAGCCAAGCTATAACTGGGTACAAGGCAGCACCAAGTATGAGGTGGGCTGTTTATACATTCCATCTCACTGTCACGATAGTACATAAAAAAAAATCATTAGTCTTCTCTACAGAGGGTTTAGAGAACTTTAATAGCTGGTGTTTGGTTCCATCATTTGTGATCTCCTGAGGCAAGATTCAATCCCAGAGCCTTGTCCTGTGATAGTAAAGGAGGCTGGGTACTCTTTCTCCTTTCTGTTTGCTTGACAGTTTGTCTGTCAGCCCACAATTCTTGGTTCCTTCTTATGTCTTTCCACTCTTCCTCCCTTCAGCACTTGTCTCCTTACTGAGAGAGTAGAGATGCAAGGACCAGACCATGTTCATGGTCTGGAGGTGGTAGTAGTCACAACAGCCCCCTTCCCTGGTCATAGAGGCTGTACTCACAATGACTAGAGTATAATGTAATACTACTTACAGAAGCACTGCTCAGAGCCATGGAAACAGAGGACAGGCAGTCTATAAAACGTCACCCCTTGTACTGATTCTGTCACAGCTCTGAAACCATACCAGAGACTCCAAAACACAGATACCTTCAAAAGAGGGTTTAAATGTAGATCTTTTTCTGGATTTGGAGGCTGCAATTCATACGATTCTTTTTCCTTCATGTTTATATCTCCATCTTCATGTTCAGGCCTGGAATGTAAACAGTTATCAAAGAAAAGGGGAAGATGAGTATTTAGATTTCAGTGCACTGGTCAATCCTAAATGAAATGAATGAATAAGATACATTTAAACAGATGTAATTTTTTAAAATAAGGGACCAGGGTCAAATCAACTACCCAGTTAACTTCCCCATGTTTCTGCCTGCTCTAGTCCATGTCAGAGTCTCAATATCTATTTAAATCATTTAACTCTCATTACCTATAGTATAATATCTAAGCCTCATTGTCTTCTAGAACTATTCTTTCCAATCCCATGTGTCTTTGCTGTTACTTTTCTGCTTGAATCTAGACTCATAATTACCCAAGTCTACTGCCTTGTTGGAGAAAATGTGCCATTTGTTTAGGAATTTAGTTTCTTATATTCCTTCTATGTCTTATATTGCTGACAAATACAAGACCCTTCTTGATTTGCCTAAAGCATCTTACCTCTGAAAATCCTCTCCTGATTCCCCCAAGTGATCTGCTTTCCTATGCTTTATCCTTCTAAGTGTCTCTCTATGGATCTATCTTCAATTCTTCACCATTACCTTATAAAACAGAGTTTTTTGAGTGACTGTGACATGGGATTGATACAGATGAGAGAAGAAGGAGGGGCAGAGGTACCATGAACCTTTCATGACAGAACCAGTTTAGGCACTGGACCCATGAGCAACACCTAGAAAAAACCTAGTTCAATCCTGAGAGTCAGTGGCTAGACTAATGGGTTTGGAAGAGAAAACTTGCCTTAATTCTTGATGGGGAGGGCTCTTCCAAGGCTGAAAGCAAAGAGGAAAACAGTCATTTTTCTAAATTTACCCAAATCAAGCTGTATTGTTTGGTTACAGGCAGTAAAGGCAGACAGTGACCACCGAAAGTTCCGTGTGGAGCTGAGGATCCATCAGAAAAGAAAACAAGTGTTTCTGAAGTTAGAGAGTTATGACATGTGCATATGTGATTTGTTATTGACAAACTTTTGCACACCTTTCCAGGAACTCATGTGAAGGAAGAACTTCTGATCCATGTGAGAAAACAGGCATTTGTGGTACTTAAGCAGTGTTGCAGTGGGTAAACTGGAAGTATGGAAGGAATGCTGGATTTTTTCCCTTACTGATTTTTTTTTGTCAGTCCTGGGGCCTGAACTCTGGGCTTGGGCGCTGTCCCTCAGCCCTTCAGCTCAAGGCTAGTGCTCTACCACTTGAGATACAGCAGCACCACTTCCAGCTTTTTCTGCTTATGTGGTGCTGAGGAATGGAACCCAGGGCCTCATGCATGCAAGGCAAGCACTCTACCACTGAACCACCTTCCCAGCCCCCTCCCTTACTGATTTTGTGCTGGTCAAACCTCAGTTCTTACATTTCCTAGATATCTCTTCGTTAAAATTGTGTCCCAGTGATCAAAATGGAACCTCTTATTTATTCAGTGATGGCACATCTGATGCCATTGATTATCCAGAACCTAGCCAAGAACCCAGAAGAAAACAGCAAATAAGCATCCACAATGTTGCTACAAAATCCAGGCATAATAGCTCCTATATTCTCCTTTGAGGCAACTCCTGCAGGTCTTCATCCAGAGGCGTCTTGACTCTTATTTACATCTGTTTCTAGCCAACTAAAGATGGCCCTGGTAGAACGAGGAGTCAGATCAATCTTGTTCTATATTTCTGCTATATTAATTCCAGTTTACTTAGCTGCATTGAGTCTTCATGTCTATATCTACAATACGAAAAAGGCTCTACAGATTTCCAGAGTAAATGTGAGGTTTAAGGGCTTCTGTGTAATTCCTGGCCAGCTAAAGGAACTGTTGTAGACACAAGGATGACCAAAATGATAATTATCAGGAAAGAAAACAATTACAACAATGATAGGAAACAGAGTCGTGGTGTCTTGGTGTGAGGGTAACTAGCTCTTCTACAGGGTCAAAAAGCATTGTGTTAGAACATGAACTACACCACTAAGACCCACATCCAAGATATTCCAAGTCATCAAGAAAGAGGATGTCAGAGCCCACTCGCTAAGCCTAAAAGAGAATATAGAACGCACCTGAGGCTTTAAACATGAAAAATGCATTCGTGCTGTCTTGTTTCAAAGGGATGAAACTCGGTGACTGGACTGGGAGGGTTCACTTGTGTAGTAGAGTTAATCACTTGTGGATATGGCCAGGGAAGTGAAGTATTTTACTAGACTAATTCTATTCCTAGATTCAGGAGTATGCATTTGATGAACACATTTTCACATCAAGCCTAAGAAAACTACAGCAGACAAGAATGAAATTCTAGACTAAGCATATCCAGTAAGCAAAGAGTAGAACCTTACCTGACATGAAAACCTTGGGTAAGTACCTGTGATATGCCAGTCCTCCCACATACTTTGCCTTCATTCTCTCAGCAACTTGGTGAGATAAGTACAGCTCCTCTTACTTATTGAGAAGCCACTACTGTAGACAAGGTAACAAAGTACCTGCTTCCTGTCCCTGCTGAGACTCTTCCAATTTTCAGAGGCTATAACTACTTGGGCACAGAGAGGCAAAATGCTGTGTTCTAGGAACTTATTGTTGACTGGTGTGGATCTTATGCTTATCCCCACATGGACTCCCAGATGTGAGTGCTCTGATATCCCCAACTTCCAGCTGAGGAAATGGAAATGCAAGATGAAGTCTCCAGGGTCAGTGATTCTGCTTGGGCCCACATAAACTATTACATTGCTTCTAACTGGGCATCTGGTACCATACCCAACAGGAGCCCAAGAAGTGCCTTTGAAGGGTAGGTTGTTTTCTTGAAGGCACAAAATGCACATAGTTGGATTACATCCAGGGTTGTTGCTTTGACCTCTGCAAGGGATAGTTATGAAGGGACAGGTGATAATGGCCACACAGGTAAGAGGCTAGGCATAGATCACTCATCTACTCTGATCCCATTACATATTTTCTGATTCTTGTCATTACAAGGCTCAGGGTTCAGAATCTTACTTACTAGAACCTGGAAATACCCAAAGGAATAGGAAGAAAATCAGAAACAAAGGCCTTTACTCTCTTACAAAACTAAAAATACAATACTTGAGAATCAGTTCTCTAAGCTTATTTTAGTATGACATTGGTAACAAGAAAGGATACAATACCTTTTGGAGTTCTTCGATTTCAACTTCATAGGTAACTACAAAAACATGAAAGTATTTCAAGTCAACTCAGTTTATCCACTTGTTCTTTAAAGCAGTTGTGTAAGAGTTCATTGTTTCTCCAAGCTCAAACATTGCCTTATGCAAGGCTCTGCCTACATGGTTTGGAAATTCTGGGGTCATTGATCATAGTCTGAATTTCTGTGGGGATTTCCAGAATAAATTTTAGAGCTAATGGAAACATAGGAAACCATTTTTAAGTGTCCTGGTTTAGTAAACAGATACATGTTTCCTGCTTCAAAGAAAGCACTGAAAATTAGTGTTGGCCTTTAAAAAGCAAACCTGAAAGGCAAAAAAAGTAGTAAGAAAAGCCCACAAAGTGTTTTGTTTCCTTAATTACAGCTTAAAACCAGAACCCCACTGAGGCTTACATAACCTTTGATTTTTCAGATGGCTCTGTGGATTTTATGACATCATGATTCCCTTAATTATTAACAAATACAAAAATCCCAGACCTGCTTGCTACTTCCTACCTGGGAAATCTCAGACAAATTATATCATTTCTTTGGGCCTCTGATTGGTCATTGACCAGGAGGACCTGCCTTAGAGATATTACAAAGGTGGCATTATCTAACAAAGTGCCAAGGATTGAATAAAAAATGACATGATGATATATTTTTTCCATAAAATTGCTTCTTTTTTGTTCCTTTTTGCATGGAAGTATCTATAAAAATTCTGTCTCTCACTGTTAACAAACATGTGTGTGGATGGCAAGTAGGACCATTCTCTGTTTCTTCTTTCCTGTTGCTAGAATCCTAACATTTTTCTTACAAAACTGACGAAGGAACATGTTGCCTTTCTAGGACCTTACTATTAAAATATAATAATAATAATATAACCTTGTTTATGACACATTCAGATAAAAATGTCAAGCTCACAAGGTCAGTGTGTTGATAAAGTGTCGGGTTCTAGTGGCAAGCTTTACAGTCCAAACTTAGTCCCAGGTAGGAATTCGAGGTACAAAGGACTACAGCCTAGAGAGGCAGGAAGAGAGTGAGAATTATGAGAGAATATGGTCTTGGAATTGCTTATGCTGGGGCACTTATTTTCCATAGTTCTTTAACTTTCTCTGCCTCTTTTATCCAGGGAGGTAAGATGGCTATGACCAAATTAGAAAAACAGTAATTTAAAAAAACCATGTAGTATTTTTGTGCCCATAGACAGCAGGAATTATGCTATCTGTTCAGATGCATAATTTCACTGAATTCCCCTGAGGATCACTACTAATCTAATATTCCAATGGACTGCTGAGGAAACAGGCACCCAGGGAAATGTAGTAACTAGGTCATTCAAGCAAGGGCTGGGGGGGAGGCAGGCATAGGAAACGGCTTGCCAATTTTCTTCTATGAATTTGTTCATCTAAACACAATATTACCTGGAAATGTAAATAGAACTTCCTGGTGTGAAGGTAGCCTTGAGGGTAGCCAACCCTTTGAGAAACCTCTGGCCCTAGGAAACAGTCAGTGGAGCACTGTCTAGAGGACCTCTGAGGACAGTTCTGCAGAGATTACAGAAGAGCATGGATGCTCATCATCTATGGTTAAATGCTCTGAAAATGGGCAAAACCTCACCAAGGCACCATGCTGAGCTACAAACCACAAGGAATGGCTTCTGCTCTCTTCATATTGCCTTCTTCCCCTATGATTTACAAAGAAGTCAGTGGAGCCTTAACCTTGATGGGCAAAGGAAGAAAGATCTCTTTAATTGTTATGGCATAAGAATTAAACCATAATATATTTTTTCAATGTATAGCAATGCAATTGCTTGAGCACCATTAGTTAAAAGGTTATTTTTTTTCCTCCGTTGAATTTACCTTTGAATCTTTTTTTTTTTTTTTTGATGTTGCTGAGGTTCAAATTGTGGGTCTCATGCTTGCAGGCTGGGGCACTATCACTGAGCATACCTCCAGCCCTTTTGTTTTAGCACACGTATTGGTTATTTTATTAGATAAAGTCTGACTTCCTGCACAGACGTGCACCTGGACCATGATCCTCCTTTTTTGGGCTTCCTTCCATAATTTGGATGACAGGCACAGCCAGCTTCCTCTGTCAGGAAGATGCTAAGGAGTCTCATGAACTTCCTTTTCCCAGGCTGACTTGCAACTGTGTTTCTCTCAAACTCAGCCTCCTATGTAGCTGGGATGACAGGCCTCCAGATAGCTATTAGTTGAGAAAGGGCCTCAAGCACTTTTTGTTGTTGGTGGTGGTAGTCATGGGGCCTGAACTCTGGGCCTGGGCACTGTCCCTCAGCTTTTCAGTTCAAGGCTAGCGTGTTAACACTTGAGCCACAGCACCACTTCCAGCTTTTTTTGCTATGTGGTACTAAGGAATCAAACCCAGGGCCTCATGCATGCAAGGCAAGTACTCTATCACTGAGCCATCTTCCCAGCCCAACCTCAAGCACTTTTAAGCCTGCCTGGATTGACCTTAAGCTATGATTCTCCAGATCTCAACTTCCCACACACCTTGTGTGAGAGATATATTGAACTGTTCTCAGCTGTTGGTTGAGAATGAGTCTCACATACATGCCAAGGTTGGCCTTGAGCCATGATCTTTCTGACCTCAGCCTCCCACATAGCTAGGAGTACAAATGTGAGTGACAAGTATGTATGCTTGCCTTTAAATCTTTGTAAACAGAAAAATCAGTTTAGCCTACTCCTTTTCCTAGGTTCTCTTTTTATTATCATTAACAATAATAGTAGAGATTGATTACATCAGGTGAAGGATTCATTGTGATAATTCCATATATGATAGCAGGTACTTTGATTGTCTTCACCTGCTCTATTGTTTTGGGGCTTTCAATTCTCTACCGCTGCTCCCCATGTTTCTCTAACAATACTACATAAACTTAATTACCATAGCTTAAGTCTTGGAATTGGTTGCCTGATATTTCCTAGACTTTGTTTCAAAATTGTGTTTAGCTGCTTTATTTCCCTTGCATTCCCATACACATTTTAGAATAATCTTGTCTTTCTATACAGAACATCTTGCTGAGATTTTTATAGGAATTGCCTTAAACCTGTGTACCACTTGGGGAAAATGGAGAATTTTACTATCAATTTCTACTATATTGAGTCTTCTAATCCATAAACACAGTATGTCTCTTCACTTGTTTATATTTTCCTTGATTTATTTAATCCAAATTTTATAGTTTTCTGCATCTAGGGCTTATGCATGCTGTGTTAGATTTAAATCTATATCTTCATCTTTTTGGAAAGGTTTGAAAAAGTATTGTGTTGTCAGTTTTATCATTTATGTGTTCATTGTTAGTATATAAAAATATAATTGTATCCTTAAACTAGCTGAACTCATTTGTTAGTTCAGGGAGGGGGCAGTATATTTGTTTGCTTTTGCTTTTTAATAAAATCCTTAGGAATATCTACCTAGACAATCATGTCAGTACAAATACAGTATTAATTTTCCATTTTTAATCCATTTATCTTTTATTTTCTTGTTTTACTGGCTGAAATTTTCAGTGCTCTGTTGAAGAGAAGTAGTAATTTAGGGCATTCTTTTCTTATTCTCAAATTTGGAGGGAAAGCATTCAGTGTTAATCACTTTGGGATTTTCCTATTTCCAAGAACTTCTGTATGATGATTGGGGATGGAATATTGTTTAGTGCCTTTTCTGAATGGATCCCAATATGGTTTCTTGGAAGCCCAGCCTATCCTGAGGAAGGAAGCCTTAGAGAGAAGGTATAAGCAGCAACTTAGGGAAGCATTCTCACACACTGGCACAGGAGAGATGGTGAGGCAGGAGAGACTCATGTGGTCCAAGAAGAGAAGGTAACGGTTTGGAAACAAGCTTCTTCTTGGCCCTTTCACATAATTGGCTTTGAAACATGATTGGTCTTTTTATTTTCAGCAATGGGGTTTGAACTCAGAACATTACAGTTACATTGAAAACCTGAGTCACATCCCCATGTCCTTTAACTTCTAGTTATTTTTCATATATGGTCTTCTGTGGTTTGGCCTGTGCAGTCTCAGACCACAGTCCTTCCAGCAGCATCTCCCTACTTGACTGTGGTCCTCCTATATCTACCTCTCAAGTAGCTAGGATTATTAATGGGTGCCACTGTGTCTGGTTGACCCAAAGCTTTTTTTATTCAAAGTGTGGTCTACACACTTTCAAATCACCTGGGAATTTGTTAGATATAAAAAGCCTTAGGCCACACACAGAGTTTATATTTTGACAAGATTCCTGAGATTGCTCTAAAGCAGAGCATCAGATACTCTGGATGTAGGATGCAATTGTATACCAGTAGTCATGGGGACCAGGAGTTGTTCACCTCATTATTAGTATTTTACAAACCACATGGAGAATCCAGACTTCTCCCAGTTGATGAGAAAAAAAAAGTTTTCTAAGTAGTTCTTTAAGTGCTTATTTCATTAAGTTAGGGAGAGGAGATTTCTTTCATAATTTCTTAAATGTATACTCCCAGGAAAGTGGTTTCCTCCCTAGAATCTTGAGCTTCTTGTCTGTAGAATAAGCACAACGGACCGGATAATTTTTTGGAGGGTGGGGTTGTTTCTTCTCCCAGGGGAATCAAACCTCCTCGATTGAGGAGCAGCATCAGATTTGGGGAACTGGAGCTTGCTTCCCACGGTACTGGACCATGCAGGGCTTGTGGGAACTTGCATACCTATCCTTTCTGACTTTGTTTTCCTGTTTAATAATGGATAATAATAGTAATAATAATAATAAACATTCACAGAGGACTTGGAGGGCCTAGCACATTTTTAGCACATGCTCAGTAAATCCTAGTGTTTATTGCAGCATGAATGGTTATAGGTATTACAAAGAATTAGATGGTTGGACAGGTAAAGACATTAAAAACTTGAAGAATTTATGAGTCCTTGCTTCTTCACCTTTAAAAAAAAACAGGAAGGTTCTGTTTTTTACCGACAGGTCTGAAAATTGCCAATACCAGGCAATTAGCTCTGAGCTAACCTCTGATCTATTACATCAATTCCCTTCTCCTAGTCAGACTTAATATAGTGACATAATTCTACATGTTCTATAATCTCCCTTTCCTCACACAGAGAAACCAGTCACTTTCTAAGGAACACCACCTGAAGAAAGATGAAGTTTCTGTAGAAAGTAAAGGAAGGCAAATGAGTCACCATATCATGGTTCTTCCTTCCCACAAACCCACAAAAGACAGAGGTGCTAAGTCAATTGATAAAGAGCAAAGAAGCAGGAAAGAAAAAGTCAGCAGTAGTAGTTATAGATAGCATCTGTGCATATATATATATATATATATATATATACACACACATATGTGTGTATACATATATGTACACACACAGGGAGAGGAGAGAGAGGGGGTAGCTTATTGGAAATAAGAGTCTCATGGACTTTTCTGCCCAGGCTGGTTTTGAACCATAATTCTCATAACTCAGCCTCCTGGGTAGCTAGGATTACAGATGTAAGCCACCAGTGTCTGGCTACTTGTTATATTTTTTAAAAAGAAAAGCAAAATGAGATTGTTGAACAGAATGATTATGAATTTTTTTAGTAAGCTTGTGAGAAAAACCACTTTTGACACATTTTTTATTCCACACAGGATCACAATATTAATTGGCTTAGCAGACTTACCATCAGCAATTTCTTCTACAGCACTGGGGTTAATGGAGTTGCTGCAGTGTCTCAGATAGGAAATGGTTGCCTCATAATTATGTGGTTCTTCAAATTCAGCACTGAAAATCAGGGAGAAAGAAGGTAACTTAAAACATTTCTTTAATCTCATTTTAGAGCTCTTTGTACATCTTGCTCACTAGAGAATTAATGTAAGTATGTCTAGTCAATATGGTGACCTCAGTAGATTCAGAAGGCAGATGTCACCTCCCTCCAATGCACAGCAACTCAGGATAAAATATAACAGTAAAATCTTGCATGAAGATTACATACTTCACATAGAAGTCAATGCAGTAAAACCCCCAGATGCCAAGCACAGTGAGAAAATGGACAAGCAAAGGCGAAAATGATGATTGTAGTGAAGGGATAGCCAGGAAACTTAAGACCAGATAAAGAGGAAACTTCAAGACTGGGTGGCTAAGGACTTATTATTAGAGTCAGAAGGTAATTCTGAACCACAGACCTCATGTGAATGGGAAGCTGCCTTTGAGATCTCAGCAAAAAGTCCACAAAATGCTGACCCATCTATAAAATAAGTTCTCAGAAATATCTGTGCTGTGCATTCAATCTCTCAGTGAGTGAGCAAGCAAGAAAGCTTGCTCTTGGACTGTGGCCACAGAAGCTGAAAGAATCAGTCACACAAAAATAAGAAACTCATAAATTTCCCCCACAAATACAGATATAAGGTCTACATTCAATCCATTGATGTATGGAAGAGACAAAAAAAAGCCCACAAAACTGCAACTTGAAATCCTGATCTTGCTTGTAAAGACAAATCTAAAATGTATAAAGAACACTCTTCAACCCATAACACTTATGATTTCCAAGAAAACATGCTACTTAGGATTTACAAAGGTAAACCAGCTTAACATCCCAAACTGGAAACCACACAGGACATGAGCCAACCCAGGACTGTCAGAGAGATAGAACTCGTGGTAAATTAAATGATAAAATTAAAGAAAATGGATTTAAAATAATTGTGTTTTAAAGGCTCAAAGAAATAAACAATAAAATCTATTGCATAAGAACAAGAGGTTTAGGATCAAGGGAAAGGAGTTAAAGAACTCATAAGTATAATTCTTGAAAAAATAATGTAGAAGTTGAAAAAGTTGACTAGATAAAGGGACTAGAAGGACTTAGTAAACTAGTTACATCTGAGGAAAAATTAATCAGAATAAGGTGCAGAGAGTATCAGGTAGAAAATACTGAAATTAAGTGAGGGAGGATGGAATTGGAAGGCCCAGCACATAAATGAGGGATAGTGGACTGAAAGGGGAGGGGGGGGGAAATGTAAAGGTCCATATTCAAATAAGAGACAAGACATTCGTCGGTTGTGGGGCTTGAACTCTGGGCTTGGGTGCTATCCCTCAGCTTTTCAGCTCAAGCAAGTGCTCTACCACTTGAGTTACAGTGCCACTTCCGGTTTTCTAGTGGTTTATTGGAGATAAGAGTCTCAAGGACTTTCTTGCCCCAGCAGGCTTTGAACCGTGATTCTCATATTCCAACCTCCTGACTAGCTAGGATTCCAGGCGTGAGCCCCCGACGCCCGGCCAGCAAGACTTTTTGAAGATTGAAAAGGCACATGTGTTTTTCCATTGAAGTAGCTTCAATAATGAGAAATGACAACAAACTCACACATCCTGTTTGTAATAAATTAGCACAAAACAACTAATAACATAAAATCCATGTGAGAGAAAAGACAATTTGTCTGCTATGGACAGAAATCCAGATTGGCCATGAACTACTCATTAGTATAGTAGTGGATTGAGATTGTAGTTAATACCTTAAACACTGAGTAGAAAAAGCTGGCACTATAAAACTATCCCAACTCAGGTTCCACTTAATGATGAGGGGGAAATAGATGAGTGCATACATTAACTACTCACAGATCCTACTAAAATACCTCATAATGACATATTCTGGTGCAAAGAAATTAAACTAGTAATAAAGTCAGGTATAAGGAACAACAGCAAACAAACTAATGTTTTAGGTCTTTGTAATATTTAGGAGCAAGATAGTGATTTTGATTAACATTAGACTTTTTTTATATTGCAGGTGTCAATTATTGCAGTAAAAAAGAATGGAAATAGATTAACTTCTCAATAGGGTAAAAGTTATTCAACTGAAAGCTTAAATGTTAGAGAAAAAAGTAGAAAAGAAAGACAAATATAGGAATAAGAAAATTATATAAATTATAATGGCAAAATTTCAAAACTGATCAGAAATTTCAATAAATGCTTACAGATTTCCTACAGTGGTAAGATAAAGTTATATCCAACTGAATAGTTAATGCTGCTTAAAGTAGTCTGAACACCAAAGATCGCACATAAATTGATGGAAAAAGACATTTACACCAAATTACTACCAAAGGAAAGTTGAATATTAATTAATTTTTAGATTAAAATTAAATAAGGCTTATTAATATTACATTTTTGCATGATCAAGAAGATGAGAAAGAACAAATAAATAGTGTACACCTGTGCACACTCCCAAATTATAGATAAGAAAGAGTTGTGGCTCATGCCTGCAATACTAGCTACTCAGTAGCCTGATTGCTGGAGGATCAGATCAGCATGGGCAGAAAAGTTTACTACAGTCCATTTCCAAAATAACTAGCAGAAAATCATGACTATAGAAATTGCTCAAATAGTAGAGCATCAACCTAGCAAACACAAGGCTCTAAATTCAAACATCAGTACCACAAAGAGCAAGAGCAAGAGTGAGAAAGAGAGCAAGAGAGCGAGAGAGCGAGAGAGCAAGAGATGGTATTATTTTTGTATTTCCTTTTGGGACTAAGTCTTACTATGTAGCCTAAGTGGGCCTTGAACTTGGGATCCTCTTGTCTCAGTTTCTCCAGTGCTAAGATTACAAGTATAAACCACCATGCTCAACTTACAGATCATTTTAGGTTCTCAAAGATCTAAGAAAATGTTATGATCAGTTCTCTGCCAATATGTGAAAATTTTAGAGAAAACTGGAAATTTTGTATAGAAACATAAATTCCCATACTGACTGAGGAAAAAGTCATAAACAAAGAATGAGCAGGTCAATAATCATCAAAGGACTTAAATCTGTTGAGCAACATATAACTACTCTTTCCTTTGTCCCTCTCCATGATATTATACGTTCATTTGAATAGACAGTTTTAGGGGCCAGAAAAATTGGAAAACCTATTCAACTTAAAAGAATAGTATAATTTTGATTTGCAAACCATAAAATGATCAAATAATTTTTTAAAATGCAGCACAATCTCATGATATTTAGCTCAAATCTCCTAAATAAAATCTTGGAAAGATTAATTAAGCAATACTGAAAATTAAGAACAACTGAAATCTATTCCAAATGTCAAGAGTGGCTCAACATTAAAGATGTACCATTGTAACTGATCACATTGTTTTAATAAGAGGGGCGGGGGGAGGGGGGAAGATTACAGATGCCAAAAAGAGTATTGTATTAAGGAAGAGTGTTCTTCCTTAGCTATTTTAACCTCGAACAAAAACCATCTTTAATGGTGAAAGGTAACAAAGAGTTAATATGTATGAAAATTCGAATGGGAATTTTGTGCTGATAGCACAAAAGATGAATCCATGGAAAACTGGGACAAAATTATATGAGAGTCATTAACAAAAAGGTAAAATAGAATTAAATTTAACATTTAAATTCCAAAACTCTCAGTAAGCAGGAAAAGAGAGACCATGAGACTTTAGTTCACACTTGTAGAATTAGCAAGAATCTGTTTGAAAACACCCCATTTGGCAAGAAAATGGAGAAGTAGGTCTTTTTATATTGTAAAGGTGATTAATCGAATTGAAGGGTTACAGTTATATAACTAAGGTAATGAGTACGTTTCTTTTTTTTTGGTTCTGGTCATGGGGCCTGAACTCTGGGCCTGGGCGCTGTCCCTCAGCTCTTCAGCTAGCACTCTACCACTTGAGCCACAGTGCCACTTCCCACTTTTTTTTCTTTTTGCTTATGTGGTGCTGAGGAATCGAACCCAGGGCCTCAGGCATTCAAGGCAAGTGCTCTACCACTGAGCCACCTTCCCAGCCCGAGTACGTTTCTTTTTAAACACTCTTACCCCCTCCCTCACTTTCTCCTGCTTACCACACCCCACTCCTCTAGGAGATCTTTACACAGTCTCAAGAATAAGATTTGACACAACCATCTCAGAAGGTAATTTTTCAATATCAATAACACTGAGTTGATTATTATTATTATTATGTGATTCTACTAAATCAGAAGCTTCAGAAAACTTGCTTATATTCACCTAGAAACCTAGGATGATTTTTTTCAATATTATTTGAAATGCAAAAATTTAAAAGCACTCAAATGTCTTTCAGTCAAGAGAATAAATAAGCAAATGGTGGTATGTTTATTTGGTGAAATAAAATACAGCAATTAAACTGATAAATGAGATGTACATATATCTGCATGGAAAATAGCTTTGTTCGCAGAAGCAAGTGGTAGGAAGATGAAATAACATAGCACTTAGACAAACATTTAAAATAATGTATCTTTAAAAGATGTAGGAGTTGATAAATGGAGTCTAAGCATATTCCCCAGTTCACAATAGGTGGGAAGATCTGACGGGGAAGAAAGGAGAGAAGAGAAGATAGAAGTTAGTCTGGCAGGAGAAAAAGAAAAATGGCATCCTGGAATATAACAAAGGGACCTCAACTTTTTCCATAACAGATGGAAAATTCCAGCTACTTCATACAAAGTGTGAATAGTCTGAAGGAGAAATGATTACCCATAAGCCTGTTGGCTTTTTCACATATGTAATTGGTGTTGATATTTTGATATTCTCCTTGATTGTGCTCATTTCTATGTACATTCATGAAGTTGTCAACCCAGAAAATATAAAGATTCAGGGTTTCTTTTTCTTCTTTTCCTCCACGCTTAGCACATCCTACCAAATTCATTCTCTTTGTTGTTTGATCACTTTGCTGCTTTACTGTTTTCCATCATTTTTTTTCAAATTCTCTATAATGTCTTTAAAGACATAGGAATAGAACATTTTGCTGAAAGAAAAATGCTAAAATGGAATGCTTTAGCAACTTCT